GACTAGGCGGGCGTACTGGACTCCTGATGCGTATGGACTTTTGCCCATACACTTGAAGGCTACACACTGAGTAATTTTAATCGTATTAATATTAACGCTATTTTTATCGTTTGTTATTACTGGACATTGGAGTCCTTTTTAGGCACAGTTATTCAGAACTGTAAATGCAGATTTATTGCAACGCCTGAATGTTGAATTTAAAATCATATTATTCCTTCCAATCGTATGATTTAAAAACATCTTTAATCTTAGTCTATGGCTATCTTTCGCTTAAGTAAAAAACGTTTTGCAAGTATTTTTGCAAAAAAAAAATCGTCAATAAAAAATATTTGTTTCAATGCCAATCAATTTTAATCAAGTATATATTGACTATTATTATAATCTTTCAAAATTTTTGGGGTAGATTCATATTTCTATCGTTGTAGAATTTTTGTGGTTGTTGTCGAAAAACTTGACCAAGTGGTTTTCAGCGGTGCTTCGGTCCACCAATTTTTTACAATCTTGATAGTTGTGCAGCGACTGAAACAAATTATAGTAAGATGGCGCAAGATTCCGGTTATACGATAGATGTGTCAAAACTTCAAAGATTTGTTCCAAGTAATCAAAAAGTGTGTGGCCGCGCCTGCTTTAAACGCTTGAGGTGTGCACGGTACACGAACAAATAAATTATTTTTTTAGGTTCCAAGCAGCTCCCATTGCAGTTCCGTTCCAATCTAATTAAACACTCAACAGTAGCGAGTTTCTCGACGATCCGGATTTTGAAATCTTTTATCCACAAGTTTCCAGAATCATCAGCCTTTGACCATGATCGCTTGCATGAGAAATTCTCGTGTACTTTTTCTCTGTTTATCACCGCTTATTGCTGTTGCGATGATTCGTTTCAGTCAGTCAAATTCTTTGTTTTAATTCATGTGGCACCCAAACATCAGTTCTTTGTGTATACATCTTGTTTTAAATAATTCGAATTTGTCTTGTGTGTGTGTGTGTCTTTGTCACGTGGGGTAAGGATCTGCACAAAATCGTTGACAGGAGCTGGATGCGAGAAAGGTGATGATCAGCAGTAGTCTGCGATAGGCTGATGATGAGGATGAAATTAATGTATTAATGGTGAATGGTGGTTATTTTGTAAACTAGCATATCAGTCTTGTTCTATCAGTCACAAAAATTTTTTTCAGTGCTTTAAAATTGAAACCTTAATTTCCCACAGACGCATACTTCACCAAATTTGGGCACGTTTTTCATCGTTTTTGCCTTTGTATAGTAAAGCATCATATGACTTATTTGTTTACATTTTCAAATCTATAGAATTTTTTACCCGAGCTACGTTGATTGTCCGTAGGGTTAGTATTAACACGATCTATTGACCAAAAACCACGGAGACTTTTTCAATGTCTTATTTTATGCTTTGTTTTAAACTTCATGTAGGTACTTGTGGTTGGTAGGTTTTAATAGGTCACACGCTAAGGGTTAGTGAAGATTAAATGATAGGGCGTCAAACACTTAGGTTACTGGCCCATATATATTTTGTTGGTAGATACTATTTACGGAAGTCATCTAGAGCTGAGTTATCGTCACCTTACTCGTTAGGGAACTCGTTTCCCAGAACTAATCCTATAGGAAGCTTTTAAATGATATTTATATACGAGCGACCTTCGTTGGGTTGTATTAATGTAGAAATTTTGAAGTGTAAGTTAAAGTCAGATAAGTGGATTAAAGATTAGGTGAGTGTTTAAAAATAAATTTTGCCGTATATAGTACTATAAGTTGATTATTTTGCTTCGTTTCAAAGATTTAAATTTAAATTAAGTCATTAAAAATTGTATATCTTGCGATAAAATAAAAATGGCTACATAATTCCATGGTTTTACGGAAAAGGTTATTGAAATTGTGTGAGTTACGCCTATACAAAATTGTTTTATCTTGAAAAATATGAAACGTCAAACGGTACCTCTTAGATTAGGTGAACTGTAATGTTATTTTCACAAAGGTACGTATAATGTGTTATTCATTGTTTATACGCCATACATACAAACATTAGTTTAGAATAACATTTAGTGTTTATGATAAATATTAGAAGATCACCTGGCGGTGGAATTTTGACCGTTTTAAACTGCCTTTTTTTTTTCAGTGATCGATGTAACATGAACATGTAACTGTAAAGCAAGTAAATACATGTATTAAAAAAATATGAATTTTTAAGAATTTTGTTTTATAACAAGCGTTCAGACTTTATTTTACCTTTAAGGGTAAAATTGACAAAAAATCCTTTGTTATTGGGTCCTTCCAATATAAAAAGCAACAGCTGCCAAATTTTGAACTTTGTAGCCCCAGTGGCTTAGGGTCTGCGTTGATGAATCAGTCAGACAGGGCAATAATTTTGTGTGTATAAATAAGCCATCTCACTAAATATTTGGACCTTTGATAAGTCTACGAACTTTCGAAACTAAGAGAAGAAAGAAAGATATTATAGTTATCGTTAATTACGTAGAAAGTGTAATGAAGTCTTTGTGTCGTCACATGCATTGCTTATTATTATTGTTATTAGTATGAGGATAAACCAATAAGCTATATTGTTCACAATGGTCTGATTAATTCGAGGACTAACACTCTCCCCCTTGCAGATGATACTTGAAAACCAAATTGTTAGATTCTAAGCATGTAGTGCCTAAATTAACATATAATTTCTTAGATTTTTTGTTTGATTAATGGTTTATGTTATTTTTTATATTCATACTCATAGACAAACTGTCATTAACAATCTACCTCCTCTGTGACAAATTTTAAAAAATAGATTCGAGAATAGATTCATACTAATTACAAAATAGTTAATTGGCATCTCACTTCATTTATAATAATATCTGCAGGTGCTAATTTCAAAGGGCGACGGCAATCGATGACTCAAGAATCAATATCGTAATTCTATTGCGCAACTTAACCCCTACTGTGTACGTGTGTATATTCAGTTTGTATCAAGTTTCACTGAGTCTAAGTAAGTTTTTTAAGCTATTTAAATTATCAAGTGTCAGCACCTAATATTGTTTAGTTACGGTTAACCTTAAATTAGAATTAGTAGCTACTACTACTAAACTATAAACAAATGTTCAGGTTTAATTTTCTCGTGTTCTACCAGTGGAACTAAATAATAAAACATATAGGACCATTTGTAAACTACATTCAGATTCCTTGACAGAAAAATTACAATATCAAATATCTCGACCCGGAAAACGTAATCAAATCAAATTTTTCCTTGGGGCTGACGAGATTGTCAATCAGTCACCATAGAAAAAAGTTAAAATACGAATGTTAATCGAAAATACGGCCAATCAACCTAAAATCGATAGTACATAAACGGCAGATGCTTTACCTACTTATCGACGTGATTCGGATCACGTAGGGCACTACTATGTACTCCATATTTATTAATGATGCAGATATGTATCGTATATCGTCTAGGTTTAGCTTGAGTTACTAATTAAATAACTGTTGAATTAATTTATGAAATGATTATTTATTATTACGTATATAGTTTTATGCATCTTAGTTTAGTCTCATTTCTCTCATAGATTTCGAACAATGTGATCAAATTTTTCATGAGAAAATCAGGAAAAATATATATCTAGTGATTATTTCACTATTTCAATATAGCATAATTCTAGTGAATTGTCTGAGCAATATCTAAACAACAATAAATCATGATAAGAGGTTTGACGAAGCACATAGGAAGATGGCATGTTATATTGTGTGTCACACATTCCAAGATTTATTTACATTTCTTCGCGTGAGCAACGTAGTTATGTAAAGGGAAACTTCTTTGAAACTTCTTTGTTATCTGCCACTGATCATAATTAAATACTGCTACCAAATGCTAACTTAACTCAATAATTCCACATCTTCAAGAGAATCTTTGCAATATTCGTAGAACAGGATGCTTAGTATAAAACCAAAACTAATCAATCAAATCATACAAGCCTAAGAAAAGTACAATATACTCGTAATATGGTTTGTCAAATGGTTGATTATAATAGCTTCTTTAATAGGACGTTTACGATGCTTTTGCTAAAATATTTGTAAGAATGTAGGATATAATCATGTCAGAGATTCGCGGTCGAATTGCACTACATTTTCTAATTCTAATTACATCCATCTTATTTCTTAGGTAGGTAAATAAACATTTATTAAACATGCTTATTAGTTAAAAGATCTATATATCTGAACTTTATTAGCTACAAATAATCTGTTTGAACGTGACTTCATATTTACGAATATATTAATCTATAATAAGGACTTTTCCTTGACCTAAATTCTGTAAATGTATAAAAACATAAAAACAACTTTGATTAAGAGTCAAAGTGATATAAAATAAAGATATATTATCTTTATTTTATTTTATTCTAAAACTGTCGTTATGGTTTTGATAAAAAATCTTGATTTGTGAAACGAGTGTGCGAGATACTTTATTGTAGATAGTTTATTATCACTTTTATAACAACACGTTGAATAAGATGCGATGCGATGCAATACCTATGTATATTCCGAGGTTATCTATATCAGGCTAGTATGACGTAGTGATGTTGAGTAAAAGTTAATCACCTTTTTTACTCACGATAATGCGACTTTCCTTATACAGGTAGGTAATGGAAATGATAACAATAATAATTTTAGTAGAACAATGTGATATAAATTGTTTAGACCCACTAAACAATATGAAAGAAATAATGATTTGGAGTTTGTATGATCTAGTTGCCTTTCTTCTCAGTATTTATAGGTCTGCTAAGCCATAAGGACTATTTTACACTGCCTAAAGTTTAAAAAAGAAATAAAAACAATCCATATCACAGTTGTTTATAATTATATCTTCCTAAATTTAAGCACTCTTGATCTTTATTAAATTTAAAATAAACATACTTGACACTTCTTTTATTTTCTTTCTCTCTCAAGTGAGTTAAAACAATAGCAAGAACCCATATATGTAAGAAGGTATGTGTGCAGTGGTTACTGACCTTAAGCGAAGCCATATCAGACACGGATCGGTGTGTTTGTATTGTCTCCAGCTGGTCCAAGCACCAGTCTAGCTCCTCCACAGTTTCTAAGGCTAGCTTCATATAGGCTTCATCTGAAACAAATGAAATTACATTTAAGTTGCATAATGAGTTATATAAGAGAGAGCAGATAGGATTAATATAGTTTTAATTTTAAGTATTGTAAAATAAAATGCATAGCTGTTTCAAAATCATAGTATTTCTATACTTATACTATACCAAACAGCTTAAAATTATAGTGAAAGATAGGTATACTGTTACTTATTACATTACTAGTTATCACAAATCAATGAGGATTCGACTTGAATTTTAAATTAGAATTAAAAACAGGAAATAAATTTCAAGGAAATCTGTTATATTGATGAAAACCATCAGGAATGATGGTATTCACGTTAGTATAGAATAAGCGCTATGATTGCCTGGATCCCGTATGAACCCAGGAGCGGGGAAAGTAATTTTTAATTCCAAAATTCACACACTTCCTTGGTCCATATGTTATAGTGATCAAACCTACGTCAAACTGTAGAGTTTAAAGTGTTAATCAAGAAAAAAAAGACTGCCTGGACAAAAAATGGCACAAGTTGATACAATCAATGAAAACTTTACAATTTGACATAGGTTATAGGCTAAATTATAGGGTTAAGTATTTATATATGAACTGTATAATTACACGCTGTATGATTACGTGACTGCTGGATGGCGTAGTGGTTTTATGTATCGGAATGCTACGCAAAGGTCTCGGGTTCGTTTCCCGCTAAAGTCAAACATTTGTGTGCTTGAACATATAATGTTTGATTTGGTCTGGGTGTTTCTATGTATAATATGTATGTATATCAGTTTCATATCAGTGCGGGATAAGATGGCGTTGTGTGAATGTGGTAAAAAATAATACTGTACGAATTAATCCCTCTTATAACATTAATTAATTTTTGTAAAATCTGGTGTACAAATAAAGCATTATCTGTCTGTCTGTTAAATAGACATACAGTCAATGACAGAAAGATTAAAGTAAACCATTAAAAAATTAAATCTCGCGGCGTAAACATGTTACTTTGACTTTTGTTAAGTTTATTCATAGGTCACTCTGACTACCTATAATGTGCACGTCATCGACTTTATATACTTTGTATTCAATATAATTTTTGTACAAAAACTACATTCATACAACAAACTACATTCAATTTCAATTCGCAATAAAAGTACAAAAATTGCAAGAATAGTAAGTAAGTAAGAATATAATTGTTGCGAAGGTCTTTAAATATAGTATATGTCACGTCACACCATGTCACGTCGTCATGTACAGGTTTAAAAATATTTTCTAAATATTACCAAAAAATATCAAGACTAGTAGAACCCATCATGGCTTTTCTTCATCGCCACAATGCGCTGTGATCGTATAACATGATAGCCGCGACACGAATTACGCTTTCTGTCATTTCCACAACAGGTCGTGAACGTTTACGTTAGAAGAGTAATTCTAATTTTGAGTAGTGGTCTTTCTGTGATTGTCTTGTATGTTTTCATAAAAACCATAACACGAGTTTCGCGTTGTGGTCCTACTGCGATTGCCACAACGCGTTTTGAGCTGTTTTTCATTCAATGAGCGTCAACGGTCTTTGAGCGTAACATACGTAAATTATTAAAAGTTTACTCAAATATTAAGATTTACAAATTATGAAAAAAAACATAACACTCTCACGGATCTTGTAAGATCCTACGATCCTACAAGAATTATATGGTTATGATGCACATGTACATATTGTACATATTATATTGTGGGTACAAAGCTACATTTGCAGTTGGTATGTATGAAAAGAAATACTGTAATATTGTAGTTAATGCTACAATATTAGATTTGTTATTTTGTACCCTAAGAATATAGAATACAAAAAATGAAACTGAACTGATAGATTTTATAAAATCTGTTTTAACGTGAATGAACGTGATCGTGAATAAAGAATAGATCGATTCCTGAAATTGCAGGCAAACTAATAAGATAACACTGCTCCTCTATTTACTTTATTCATAAAATATTAATATAAATTATTTTTCCTGTTATATACACATGCTTGTATATACACAATACATATCTTGTCAAGTAACAAATATATTGATGTTGTAACTTGCATAATTTTTTATGTAAAGACATTTTTGAAAGTATAACATCTCGCAACGGCCCATAAGAGCGGAGCAGTAACCTTCTGATCTCAGACAAACTGAGAAAATGTATACACATAAGTATACGTTAACTTACTCGTACTCTTATATACGATTATGTAAGAAGTTAGCGCGGGTCTCGGCTTTGGGAATACGTTGGTCTCAAATTCTATATCAATGACAAATTAATCATGTAGCTATTGTTCTTGGAGGATGATCATGAAATACATTTCATGTTGTTTGTTCGTAATGGTCACAATAATGAGCCGTGATGTCGTGCGTCACAAATTAAATTTCTCACGAGATAAGTTGAAAGTAAATATATTTTGACCTTAAGCTACGAGTAATATGGGGGCATTTAAATACTGATAATAATGTGCTGTCTGTTAAAACAGATGGATCGCTTACTTATAAATATGAAAAATTGCTTACAAGTTAGCAACTAGGTGTTGAGTGTTAGAGTTTTTTTTTGAACAGTGTGTATTACGTATAATATATGTATTTATATAAATTCTATTTTTAGGCATAAGAACGAATATAATGAATGAATTGACCAAGTTCATTGAATGAATTTATATATAAATACATGGGAAGAATTCTACGTATGCATTTTTTTATTCGCATACGCTAGAATGTGAAATTTGAAATACTTTAAAAATATATAATTTGATATATAATATAATAATTTAAATATATAACAAATTGGAAAATAGTCGAAAAGGCCACATCAAGTTACAGGCGTTCAATATATCCATGTTGGTCTGCTATGGTACGCAAGTTTATACAATGACATACCAAGTTATACTTCGGAATAAACCAAAAACGGAATTGTCACCATCATGTAATCTTTACTATTTATATGAAATATGAGAAAATACGAGTAATACACGACACATTCTATTTATTTTTTTATGTTTTAATGGCGCCTACAACGTTGTCACTAACTGACATTGTGTGTCTGTTAGTGACAACTTTGTAGGCACCACCAATTGTTAGGTGACAACTTTCAAAATTCGTTACTTTATCATTGTGTCTCCTTAATTTTGTATGTGTACAGGCAATAGTCAATATTAATAGGCAATAGGCAGTTGTATGTATTTATTTCGTGTGGTTGTAGTATTTGTGGTTGGCCTATGTCCAGCAGTGGACTACTAAAGGCTAAGGCTGTTGATGTGATGTGATGTAGTAAACATTAAAATTATCAAAACAGTTTCATTTGTTTACAACAAACGCTGCGATCGTAACGAATATAACATATTATATTAAGAAAAAAATCTCTGCATAATGCAACATGTTGGAGAATTTGAAATATCGCAAAGTTAGATATGGCTCATGGCTATGGCCTCTGAATAACTAGAGCATACTAAATTAGTTAGAGCTTTGTCAAAAGAATTAAAGCGTTTCGCAGATAATCATGATGTCATCTGACATGTATTAATTTCAGTTATGAGGCGGATGCTTGAAATACATAGAATTTTATATTCAAGGTAAATCATAATATCGTTTCAGAACCTTTTCGAGTTCTGTCGCTGAACTGCGAGATTCTAAACTATAAACTGATATTTATATTAGCAGAGCGTAGTAAATAGAGCTAAGAAAGAGGTAGATGCTGTCAAAGTTTGAAACAAAGAAAACAAGACGAACCCACATGTGGTTCCCCTAGTTTATAGGTAATACTTATATGGTTACGCATTACTAATTAAATTTTGAATGCACTCAAACAACATAATTAGACGTCGTATCTTTTTTAAAACAGATCTTGTTTTTAAAAGACACATGAATTTGATCAATTACAAAATTATATATCAAAAGCTCTCACAATAATTCAGCGGAACGAAAATTTTGTTTTAAATATAGACTGTTGTTTTAACAGCATACGATTGTTTTTCATCGTCCCACACGGTATCGATATCGATCTTATAAGTGTCGGTGTTGACTGTGCCCCTAGCTACCGCTCACGCGGATCGTCCTACATTTCATATTTTTCTGGAAACGGTGAGTAGCGAGTGGTGAGTGACAGTAGGCGTCCCAAATTCAGCTGATGGCAGGGTACCAACAGTGCTACTCATTAGTACCTGTCACGCTCCAAATAGAAAGCAAACGTTTTGTTAATTTGTAAGAGCTTTGTGAAAATATTTTGTGGTTTTTTGTTGATGAATTACTCATATGTTTGTATGCGAAATAATAAAAAAATCTGGGTCACGGGCTCGCCGCGTATGGCTGGCAAATAGGTAGTACTAAAAGTATCAGTTATCGAGTAATATTTATCCTGAATGAATTTCGAAGTGTGATAATAAAGACACCGCTGAATATTTAAATTCACAACAAAAAATAATTGAATCTCAGTTAATGTCAAGTCCAGTAGTGGAATTAAAAATATAAAACTAATTAGGATAACATTTAAGAAAAGAAAACCATGATTTGCTAGGTTCCACACCACCACTAGGTTGCTAGATCTTAAATCTTGACTTACTTTATTAACTAACAACATTTGAATAGAATACATAAGAATATCTATCATTTTCAAAAGTCGTCGTATTGCAATATTGGGTATTAAACCAAAAGGTTCGCTGCTTGGCCTGTATCCTTTCGATAATAATTCGATTACGGTTAGGCCGTTACCTACGGCCTAACCGTAATCGAATTATTATCCAAGGCGTAACAGCGGTAATTAAAACGGTGGAATAAATATACTTAATGTTATTCAGTATCAGTAATAAGGAGTCTTACAAACTAGTTCATAATATTGAGTATGTACTTTTATATTTGTAAAATAGCTCCTAAAGTGACACTGTAGTACACAATGTGATAGATTTAAAGAAGCATGAAAATCAGACACTAAAAAAATATTCTGGTTTCATACCATGTTAAGGAAGATCCCTTTTTTACGTGGTTAAATTTTAGTTTAGAAATTTAT